GCTGTCAGTCTGTTCTTTGTGTCTATGTGTAATAGGAGAGTTTTTAGATATCTTTAATTCATTATTTTGCTAGAACTAGAGTAAAAAACCAAGTCTTCATAGCTCTCCTGCAGTTCCATGAGCTGGGTGAGTATGTGATAAGGCCAGCGAGTTCCATGGGCAGCAGGTCATTACCTATTGCTGTGGAAAACAGTTTGGCAACTCACATATGAGCCAGCAATTCCACTCTTAGGTAGATACCCAAGAGAAATGAAAGCATATGTCTACACAAAAACCTGTACACAAATGTTTATAGCAGCATTATTCACAATAGCCAAAAGGTAGAACTACACAAATGTCTATCAATGGATGAATGGGTAAACAAATTATGGTTTGTCTATACAATGGGATATTATTCAGCCATTAAAAGGAGCAGAGATTTAATACATGCTACAACTTGAAAGAACTTCAAAAACATTATGCTTAGTGAAAGAAGTCAGGCACAAAAAATCAGATATTATATGATTCTTTTTATATGATCTATCCAGAAAAGGCAAATGTATAGACATAGCAGATTAGTGGTTATCAGAGGTTGGGGCAGGAGAGAATGGTGAGTGATTATTTGATGGGTACAGGGTGCTTTTGAAAAGTCTTTAGTGTAGAGAGACCTGGTAGCTACACAACACATGAGTACACCAAATTGTATACTTAAATGGCTCATTGTATGTTATGTGAATTTCACTTCAATAAAAAAGCAGTTGCACACAAATGCATGTAATGATTACAACTATGTTAAAAGCATACAAAATTAAATAATACATTGTTTAGATATATACTGGCTTAGCTGTAGAAAAAAGAAAATGTCAAGGGAATAATAAACGCAAAATTCCCAATAGTGTTAACATCTGGCAGGGAAGGAGCACCCAGGGTTTTCAGTGATATTAACAACATTCTATTCATTAAGGTGGGTACGTGGATGTTTATTTTCTTGCTAACTTCTTTAATATGTATTTAATATTTAATAAAATTTAAAGACGTAATAAGGAAGGAAATCCTGTCACATGCTGCACCATGGATGAAGCTTGAGGGACATTATGCTAAGTGAAAAACAACAACAAACAGGCACAAAGAGACAAATCCTGCATGATCCGTCTTTAGGGCAGTCAGATTCATAGGAACAGAAAGTATGGTGGTGGGCTCAGCCAGCATGGCTCAGTGGGTGAGTGTCGACCTATGAACCAGGAGGTCATGGTTCAATTCCCAGTCAGGGCATATGCCCAGGTTGCGGGCTCGATTCCCAGTGTGGGATGTGCAGGAGACAGATGATCAATAATTCTCTCTCTTTGATGTTTCTATCTCCCTCTCTTTCTCTCCATTCCTCTCTGTAATCAATAAAAATATATTAAAAATAAATAAAATGAACACAAGTAGTCATTAGAAACCTTTAAGTATACTTGTGACAACCTGGATATGTAAATCTTTTTAGATTGTAAAATTTTAAAAATCTATTAATGTATTTCTGATGAAAACTGAGTGTCCAAATTTAGACATACTGTGAGTAAAATATAATTTGGATTTAGAAGACTTAGTTTTAAAAAGGAAGAATGCAAAATATCTCAATAATACTTTTTATAAAGTATATGTTGAAATGATAATATTTAGGCATACTGGGTTAAATATGTTATTGAAATTAATTTTCTGTTTCTTGTTTCTTTTTTTTAACTTTGGATACTAGAAAATTATGTATGTGGCTTACATATTTCTTTTGGATAGTGCTGCTATAAACAAAGCATGTGAAACTTAAATCATGAAACAGAATGCTTCCATAACAGAATGTGAATGTTCAAAATACCAATATTGGAAAACATAGCTCCCAAAGAAGATAAATTATTTAATAATAACAATAAAATAAAAATAAAACCACCAAAAATACCAATATTGTGAAGTGTAAAGAGAAAACTGACAAATAAAAGTGTATAGGCACAATATTCTCATCTTATAGAAAGGGCTTCAAGAAACCTTGTCTTGAAGTGACAAGATGAAATTCAGATTAGGGTCCATTATGTAAAGTTACAAAGTGACCAAGTGGCTGCTACTAAGCAGAGTGATATGATCGTATATAGCAGGTTGTGTATATATAGCATCATGAAATAGTGGTATAAGCATATTATTTAAAGATATGGAAGCAAATGCTAGAAGAATAGGTAGAAGGGGAGGCCAGTGAAGAGAGGCCTGAACATAAGGAGTGAAGGAGAGCAGGAGAATGCTGTTCCCCATTAAAAACCTGCTGGGCTGCCCTAGCTGGTTTTGCTCAGTGGATACAGACTTGATGCCCAGTAGGGGGCGTGCAGGAAGCAGCTGATCAATGATTCTCTCTCATCATTGATGTTTCCCTCTCTCACCCTCTCCCCAAATCAATAAAAATATATCTTTTAAAAACCCATCTGGACTATGATATTTTTGGAAAAATAATTTTCATGTTTATCTTGGTAACAATTTTCAGAAACAAAAGAAATTCAACCTCTGAGAGGTTTTAAGGGTCGATGATACCACTATGGTAAATTCTCTCTGACCCAGGAGGTTCCAAGCGGCCCTTCCTTTCCCCTTTCTGGCTCCTGCTCATCTACCACACTTTTCACATAGGTGCTCCCTCCTCACCCTCCTGTCCCCTGAACACTTGGCTTCCAAGCCTCCCGTGCCAGCTGACTCTGGGCTGAATGCCAAAGTGGAGGGGGCCTTGCCAATAGCCTACCTAGAGATCACAATGTGGTCTCTGTGATGAGGTCGCCGATATAACTGGGCTGATGTAAAAGACCTCACTGGGCATCCGTCTCCTCTGGGAGACCAAAGGATACAGTGTCACCTCTCCCGTACTTTCAGCCTCTAGCCCCTGGCCTTGGGGAAGCAAGAGGTAAGGTGTTAGGAGGAGGCGTGGGGTGAAGGGTTGGGGGAGAGACGGAAGCCACAGGACAGGGACACTGGGGGTGTCTGTTGGCCCCAGCCCCTCCTCCAGTACCAGGCGTCAGGGCCAATCTACTGTTTCCTAAGGTACCATCTTCAAGGCCAGAGATGAAGGCTCAGTACACGATGCTGGGTCTGGTAGCTGTCTGTATGCTTACATTGAGGTTGATGGCCTCCTTCCTGGGCCTGGAGTCTAGTCAGAAAGACCTCGATAAAAAGGCCAGAACACACACAAAGACCTGTGACTGCCTGAGGACACTTTCAGAAATTGCACCTGTTCATCTGCGATCCGCAAATGCTCTGCCGGCCTCCACATACCTGGAGACTGACTGGTTCGACAAATGCTTCGAAAGGGCCACTGAGCCTCTGATGAAGTCAGAAGAGCCCATGTCCTCTGATGCTCTGATATTGTGGTTGGTCAGTGCACAGTCTAGCTCTGTCCAGTCCCTTCCCCCAACCCCAGGCCTTGGCCGACTCTCCCTTCATGACTCCTGGCTTTAACCTTCTTCTACAGGTAGTGGGAATCTAGGATAAGCCCCTAAATTCCTCCCTCTTGTGCTCTGAAATTCAGGGCATAAAGTCAGAGGAGGAATTTGAGAATCAGAAGCAGCAGCTGATTAAAATGACTCCCAGCCACACACTGGCCCGTGTGTCCAGCTGCCTGACTTGTGCAGTGGTTGGAAACTCAAAATTCCTACGGGGCTCTGGCCTTGGCTCCAGGATTAACCAGCATGACATGGTCCTCAGGTAGGTGCAGGGTAGGAGGTAGAGACCAGGAAGGTCAGGCCAAATCCTCCTCCTCCCCCGAAGTCCATCCTGCCCTCCTTCCCAGGATGAACCAGGTCCTGCCCAAGGCTTTGAGTCAGATGTGGGGAACATGACCACCATAGGCAGATGTACCCCGGGATAGCCAGCACTCAGGAAATTTGACATATGAAGTTTTGAAGCTTGTTGTCAATACAATAAAATAGCATACATATCAAATCGCATATATATCAACATATGTGTAACTCCATCTATTGAAAAAAAATCCGCATTATTAACGGGTACACCTAGTATCTGCTGCTGGGTCCCACTCATAGGATTTTGGAACCAAGCTCCAGCAGCTGTGAACAGCCCATTTCCACTCTGTGTGGTGCAACGGGATGCAATGGGGCCTAAGCCCCGAGCAAGTAGGTCTGGTGAGTGGGGGCTGCTCTCAAACCCCCACATTCTTAGCTGGGCCTTAGCTCCATCCCCAGGTTAGGTAAGAGGAATTCCAGGTTATTGTTGGAATGCCAGAGGAATTCTTTAAAGAAAATTGTTCTCTCTTAGGTTTTGAGGAGGTTGCCAATGACAGTCTTAAGGCTGTGAACTGGGTTCAGTCCAGACTGCCTTCACGGGAGCCAGTCCTAAGTGACAAGTCCTGCCACTGTCCATGCTCCGTACCAGCTTGATACGTGGTTGGACTACAGGGGACCAGAGTTGGTTCTAGCTGATATGCCCAGGAAGGGACACCCTAAGGACATTCACCCAGAGCAGAAGGGGAATGAGGCCAGGCTGAGCTTCTGAATTCGAGACTGACTTTAGTCAACTCAGTGTTTTTGAAGTCCCAGAATATGTTTTAAGTCAAGAACATATGATGGTTCTTTACTACCCATGAGTTCAAATCTAGATCCCAATGCCCTCCATAATCTCCCTTCCTACCCATAACTTCAGCCCCAACACTCTGCCAAGGGCAGACCAGTCTTCTCACCAGCATGCTAAGCAACCCCTCCCAGCACCTCTCCATCCTTCAGGGGCCAGTTCATGCCTTCCTTCTTAGTCCCTGGAATTTTTCAGTACTTCCAGTCAGCACACACAACTGTCTGACTCCTTGATGTATCTGTCTGTTCTTGACAGCTGGATTCCAGCTCCCTGTGGATGGGCTTGTCTTAGTATCTTCTGTAATCCTTCTCTATCAGAACACAGGCAGATGACACATTCATGGCACCTGACAGGAATCTGTAGCAAATTCTTCCTTAATAGATGCCCTTGGTGCTATTGTAGCCCAGCTACACAAATGGAGACAGCAGCACAGAACAAATGCAAAAATCTAGGGTTTATTGTTGAAGGGGAAAGGGAAGGGGAAAGAGAGGGCGAAGGGCTGGGATAATAAATTCTAGAGAGGCAGTACATGCCCCTGGGCCAGGACAAGGCACCCCTCTGGGGGACTCTGCAGGCTAGCAGGCAAGATTAACTTGTCTCAATCCCATGTCAGCTGGGACCTTCCCCCAAGCCTTGCAGGTTTTCCTCCTCTTCCTGGGAATGCCAGCTGACCTGGGCTCCCAGATTAGATAACAGCTACGCCTTTCCTTTGGCAAACGTGCAGCTGTGTGGAGGGGCCACGACCCACTCTACAGCCATCTGCCTGTCTGTGTGCTCCCAGGCTGACCTGAGTCCTGCCCTGGCTGAGGCTGCTACCTGGACGTGGCTTGGGAAGCACGGGGGCTGGGGCTGGGGCTGGGGCATAGCAGGACTGGCCCTGGGGATGTCAGACTTTGAGTCAGGGACTCGTCCAGCTTGCGGGTCTCAGCCTCCAGGACAGTGGCCTCAGGGGCCTGGGCCACGGCGAGAAGGGAGTGGGAGAGGCTGTGGTGCAGGCCTGCTAGCTCACGGCTGGTCTGGACCGAGCGAGCGATATAGTCCTGCTTCTGCTTCCGCTCCAAGGCCAGCTGGGCTCGCAGCAGGGCCACCTGTTGGGCAGGAAAACCAAGAGGGAGAGAGCAGTTGAGGGTCTTGAGGCTGCTCCAACTCTCCCCACGCTGCTCCTATGGCTCTTGTCAGACCAGCATTTGAACCAACTCTATCATATCTACGGATCTCAGGATCAGGCTTTGCAGTGTTTGGGAGAAGGGCCCCTGGGAATCGGTATCCAGTGATGGTCAACCCCGGTTGCACAGGAGAATCAATCAGGGAGCTTGAACAACAACAGAACTATTCCTCAACGTTATTGAGGGATAACTTACATGTAATAAAATGCCCAGGTTTGAAGTGTACATCTTGATGAATGTGATAATGTATATACCCACGTGGAACACTATCCCAATCAATATACAGAATGCAGGGTGTCCCCACAAAAGGTATACATATTTGAACAGCTGATAGCTCAATTTTGAAAATGAAATGTATTTTAATAAACATTGCCTTTATAATTATTCAAAGTGTGTGTATACATTTTTGGGGACACCCTATATTTTAATCACTGCAGGAAGTTCACATTGTGTTCTTTTGGAAGCTTTTGAAAAATATTCTGACCTAATTAGATTAGGGTAAGGCCTGGCCACCAGTATTTTTTTCTTTTTCTTTTTTTTTGAAAATTAATTGTGCTTTATTGATTGCAATTAGAAAAGAAAGGCAGACTGCCACGTGCACCAGTATTTTTTTCAAAGCCCCCCAGGTGGTTCTGATGTGCAGCCAGGGTTGAGAATAGCCAACTAATCACCCATTTCTCAGATGGGTATACTGAGACTACCAGGAGGTGAAGTATTGGGAGCTCAGGGCAGACACAGGACTAGGGTGAGGCAAGAGAGGCTCCATGGTGCAAAATTTAAGGAGGCACTCCAGGATGACTGTGAGGGCTTCCTTAAATTCTACTCGCAAGGTGCCCCTCTTGCCTCATCCTAATCCGGGTCCTGTCTTCGGGATTGTTTTGTATGAATTCAAAGTAATCGCTTAGGTCTAGCTCCATAGTCAGGCCCTGCCAGCAGAGACTGTTGATCCTAAAACAGGCTCAGAGGTAAAAATTCCACAGTTCTTTTTACCCCTGGGCCTCGAAAGACAGGGGGCACCTTTCGTGAGGCCTAGGAGGCAACAAGGCACTTTACAGTTTCCCTGAGCGTGGCAGCTTGACCCGAGCTCTGAGGTATGGGTCCTGGAGGGGCCTGGTGCCATGCTACTCGCCTGGTGTGCTGGCAATAGTCCTGCCTGCAAAGGTGCATGTGAGGGCAGGGAGGCCAGGGCATTTCTGCTGGCTATAGTCTGTCCTCCTAGGCTCTTCTGCTCCTTCGTCCATTTCCCTGTCCTTTCCTAACTAGGAACCTGGTGGTCTGGGGCCTGGACAATGCTTCCTTCCCCACCCCCACCCTAACCACATGGGAGGCTGAGTTAGAACGGGGCTCTTCTTATCGCCCACCAGGCTGAAGTTTGCTGAGACAGGAACTATTTCCCCTCTCCCTGAGGGAGGTGCACAAAGGGCCAAGCACACAGCACACATTAAAGCTGGTTGCCTGAGTGCAAGGGAGGGAAAGGGGGCTTAGAAAACGGATCCTTCTAGAACATACCTCTTTCTGCAGTTCAACCATGTGCTTGACCTCTGAAGAGCCCTTCTGTCCTCTTCCATTCTGTGGAAGACAAATGCCATTCCTGTTGGAAGAGGCCTTCCCACCCCAGGGGTTCTGCAGGCCTCCTCAGCTCATCACAATCCTGGGGGACAGGGCAAGGGCTATGGGTCAGAAGTGTTGGAACTCAGCCTGAACGCTATAGTGCACCAGGGCAAGGAGAGGCCCAAACCAGCCTAATGGGTGATGCCCACGGAGACCTGACACTGAATTTCCAAAAGGCTTGGAAGGCACTGGCTTCATGAAGGCACCTTTTCGTTTACAGAAGTACAGCATGCACCCGACGCTGAATTTCCAAAAGGCTTGGAAGGCACCTTTTCGTTTACAGAAGTACAGCATGCACCTGCTTTGTGCTGGTCCTGGCTCCGAGCTAAGGATGCAGAGAGGAGGTAAGACCAGGTGTCTGCCGTTGAGAAGTTCTTATTAAAGGAAGGGGTGGAGAGCTGGGAGATGCTCAGCACACAGAAACAGTCTCCCTCTGAGGGTGCAGGCTGTCTACCGATGGGCTGAGTTCCTCAGAATGCAGGGCTGCTAGCCCTGACTCCACCCCACCGAAGCTGAGCCTCCTTCCGGGGTCAGGGACACACTGAGCAGTGCTGCCTGGGGCAGAGCCGGGTCAGGAGGGGCTTTCTGGATTGGCCGAAGTGGCTGTCGCCCCTTGCAAGGGTAGCCTGGGAAATGCACGGAAGAGGGAGGATTCTGGTGGCTGGGACTGGGCTCTCCTGAGGCTGCAGTCAATGAAGAGGTAAACCTGTGGTGTGGGGGATGATGCTGTGGCTTCGCTGGTCTCCAGGACCCCTGATCGCGATGTGCGTAGGAATTCCCTCTTCAGCTTCCTCCGCTCTCGCTCCACCTGCCAGGAGGCAAGTGAGAAGTCAGGGCTCAGCTCGCCTTTTCAAGAGAAGGCCAGTGCATGTGTGGGCGTGAGTGGCAGGGGATAGCAGTCATGGGGAGCTAAACTGCTTGCTGAGGGGAGCTCATGCTAGGGCAGCCCTGAGTGTCAGGAAGTGCTCCTGGGCAGGAAAGGTAGGGCGTCCTCTCAGGCTTTTGGAACAAATATTAACAAACATCTTTTGGGGCTTGTGAGCCATCTGACCTCTGTTGCAACTATTCAGCTCCATTACTGTAGCCTGCAAGAAGCTGTAGACAATACATGAATGAAGGGGCTTGGCTGTATCCCCATAAAACTTTATTTTCAGAAATAGGCAGTAGGCTGAACTTGGCCCTTGGACTAAAGTGTACCAGCCCCTGCTCTGAGGGCAGGGCCAGAAGTAGAGATCATGTCCACTGGGCCCCGGAGGAGGGAGCTGAGGATAGATGTTACCTGCTCCAAGGTGGTGCGCAGCTGGATATTGTGGTGCTGTAGCCTGCTCCGGTCAACCTCCAGCTGTGCCACTGCTTGCTGCAGGTGTTCAAGCCTTTGTTCCCATGGCTGCTTCTCCTGCGTCCCAGCACTGGGCTCTGCCTCTACTCCTGAGATCTGTGGGAGAGACCTGTGAATCTCACCTAGGCAGTGCCTTAGACAGGTGAACAGATAGAGGGCAAAGGGACCAATCTGGCAGGTCTGGGATTCAGGATACAAGTCCCAAGAGAAGGGGACAAGCCCCCCTGGACACAAGCTCTCTCTTGGGCTATCTGTTCCCCCAGACCCACAGCTCACCTGCCCCAGCTGTCCACCTGCCTCTCCTCTGGGCCCCTGTTCTGTTCTGCTGGTCGGGCCGGGACTGTGGAGGCGCTCCTTCTCCAGGGCCTGTCTGGTGAGCTCCAACTCATCCTGGGGTGTCAGGGTGTGGAACAAATGTCATCACAACCTCAGATCCAGACTCACTCCACCTCTATCCTCAGTTCAATTTTCTCATCTGGGTATAATCTTGTGTGTCCTGGAGCCTCTGAGCTATTCCAGTGCAAAACCTTCACTTCACAGATGGATAAAACAAGATACATGGTGGGCTAGGCCTGAAACCTGTCTCGTTTTAGATCTCCCACAGGGTAAGTGATAACTTGTAGCGTTGGAAAGAGCATGGACACTGGAGCCACACAGAGCTGGGTATTGTGTCATCACTTATTGGCTAGATGACTTTGGTCAGGAGAGGCTCTCTCCAAACCCCAATTTCCTCATTTGTAAAATGAATACATGCTCCTTGAAGCATAAATCAAACCTTTGGAATTAATCCCTATAGATAAGTGGGGAACCTAGTGCTTGATATATTCCAGGCACTCTGCTTCATACATGATAATGGCCGAGAAGAGAGACAGATGAGTGTGTGTGTGGGTGGAGGTTGTCTGGGAGGAAGAGCTGCATAGTAAAAAGGCTGCTTGGATCTAATTCTAGTTTTGCCACTTACTAAGCTGTATGTCCTTGGGCAAGTTATTCAACCCCCGAACTGTCACTCCTCATCTACAAGGTGAAAATAATAACAGTTCCTACTTTTCAGGGTTGTTGTGGAAAAAAGTGAGAATAACAGTGCCCAGCATGTAAAATGCCTAAAATAAAAAAATGGTACTACTGTGACGAAGGGTTGCACTGAAAGATGTTCTTGAGTGGGTGTGGCAGGAGAGGCTGACCCGAGCCACAGTAGAGAAAATACTGCTCAGTAACCCAAGAACAGGGTCAGGAAGTGCCCTCCGGCCCAGCTGTATACCTACTTTTTCTGTGCCTCTAAGAGCAGGCCTGGAAATAGGACAGTCACTCCACTCATTGAATGCTTTCTTCCTACGCACTTTGTACATACGATCTCATTTCATACACAAAACGGCCCTATGGAGCTGGTACCATCATTCTCTATTTTATCCATGAGAAAGCCAAGAGCCAGAGAAGTGAAGGCACAGCTAATAAACTGTAGAACTGCATTGCAAACCCAGGAACTTGACTCCAAAGTTCATAAATGTAACCCCTTCTATGCATGTTGCCCTTTAACCAGAGCAGAGCACTGTGAGCTCCCAGAAGGCAAGTCCCCTGAGATGATGAAGGGGGTTCTCCGGGGCTCAGCACAAGGCTGTAAAGTAAGTCTCCCAGGAAAAATGGGCTTGGTTCCTCTCGGCAAAAGAGACAATGCCTCTCTGTGTCCAACAGTCAACCCTTCTTTCCTGGCTGCCTGCTCTGTGGAGGCCTTGTGCTCAGTGCTGGGCGTGCAGAGATGACTAAGACATGGCCCCTGACCTTGAGGTTAAATGTTATACCCTAAGGTCCTCTTCCTTCTCACTCACCATCCCACTAAGGAGCCCACTTATTCCTAACTGCTGATACTCCAAAGTCTCTCTAGTCTCAAGTTCATCTTTACCTTCAGATCACTTGACAGATCTGCCTGCTGGACATCTCCCCTTGCATGTCCCACAGGTGCCTCACTCCATTTCCAAATTAAACTCATTCCACTCCTCTTCCCCAAACCTGCCTTTGTGCATCTCAGTGAGCAGAAACCTGGGTTCTGATTTCTTTCTGTCCTTTCTTTACTCCACAGTCTCTTAGCCAATCAACTGCCTGACGTCCTATGATCATCTAGGTCTGCCCTTGTGCCTCCATCTGCACTTAGTATCTCAGGTCACCATCTCTCCCCTGACCTCGGTTATAGCCTCCTAGTTGGTCTCCTCAGGTCTAGTGTTGCTCCACACAGCAGCCTGAACGATCTTTCTGGACTGTATATCTGATCATGTCACTCGCCTGCCCTAAACCCTTCATCCACTTCTCACTGGTCATCCACATCCTTAACATGACTCATAAGCCCGGAATGATGGGGCCCCTGCTGTCCTCACTTTTCTTGCCATCTCCTCCTCTAGGTTCCAGGAGCCTGCACTCCCTACACAGATACTCCATGTTCTGTCTTACTCAGAAAGCTCCTCCCCACCTGTGCTTGGCTAATTCCTTGCTGGTCCCTTCAGATCTAACCTTTAACACCACTTTTACCAGGAAGCCCTTTGGGACTCACCCCCAGGAAAGGTAGGGTGTCCCTCTAGCATACTCAGAGCACACTAAACTTCCCCAAAGAAGCACTGAGTATAATTAGGTGCTGCATTCTAACTGCTTATCCACGAGACTGTAAGCTCGATGAGGGTAGGGATTGTGGGTATCTTATTCTCTTCGCATCCCCCCCAGACTAGCACAACTACCCGGATTCCACTTACGTTGAGATGCTCGGGACCTCAGCTTTCCCACACCTTGAGGTACACAAGTGGAGGGTGGCAGGCAGTGCCTGAGTTCAGCTGCCCAGGGCTCTGCCCCCTGGTCCTGATGACCCATTGATGACTCACCTGCAGCCTCTGCTGTTCTGAGTCCCGCTCCAGGACAGAGGCTTGGAGGAACATGGCTACTTCCTGCAGACTGCTAACACTGGCCTTGCTCTGGGCCAGGGACAGCGCCAAGTCCTGGGCCTTTTCCCTCCACTCGATCTCCCTGGCCTCCGTCTGTCTCAGGACTGCCTGTAACCGCTCCAGCTCCTGCTGCAGCCTGGGTCCTAAAGAGTCACGTTTTGTAGAGGGCTCCTCCACTGGGGAGGCTTTGCGGCTGTGGGCTGAGGCCTCCAGATTCTTCCTTTGCTCTCTCAGCTCCAGGATCTCCTCTTCCCTTTGTGCTAGAGTCAGCTGTAGCTCCCTCAGGCTCTCATAAAGGCCCCTCAACTCTTCTTCTCTTTCTTGCTCCAGATTCTGCTTCTCTTGGATCACATCCTCTTGGAGCCTCTGGGCCAGAGACTTCTCCAGCAGCTGCCTCTGTTTCCTCTGATGTCTCAGTTCTCCATCCCTCTGTGCAAGTGCCTGCTGGAGCTCCTGCACGGCCGCCTGGTGTCGGAGATCCCGGTCCTGGATCTCACCTTCCCGCTTCCTTAGGACCTCCTCCAGCTGCCGGGCTTGTGCCTGGCAGGAGTCCAGGGCAGCCTGCAAGGTGGCCGTGCTGGCCTCAAGGCTGCGGCTCAGTTCTGCCTGTCCAAGGAGATGCTGCTCTTTCTCCTGCAGGGCAGCCTGAGCCTTGCTGAGGGCCTCCTGCAGAGCCTCGACCTGGCCTCGGGCAGCCTCCTCCTGATGCTGGGAGGACTGGCTATCTGCCCGCAGGGCCTCCAGCTCCTGGTCCCGTTGCTTGAGCATCGCCTCTGCCTGCAGCCAGCTGTCCTGCAAGGCCTTGGCCTCCGCCTCGTGCTCCTGTGCCCGCTCCGCACACTGTTGCTGGAGGGCCAGCAGAGCCTTCTCCTGCTTCTGAAATTCAGCCCTTAGGTCACCCAACACCTCCTCCAGGGCCTGTGCCCGTTGTCCCTCCACTGTCAGTTCTTCCTGGAGTCTTCGCACATGTTCCCTCTGGTCCTCAAGCTCTCCCTGGCGCTCTCTCAGTGTCATGTGGGCCTGCTCCAGAGCTCTCTGCAGTGTGCCTGCCTTTTCCTTCACCACCTCCTCCTGCCCCTGGGCCTGCTGCTGTTGCTGCTGCAGGGCCTCGAGCTCCTGGTCCCTCTGGGCCAGGGCTCTCTGGGCCTCTTCTAGCTGGCCCTGAAGTGACTTCTCTTTCAGCTCCCCCTGCTCCCTGGCTTCCTGCAGGTGCTGCTGCAGGACCACTATCTCCTGCTCTCGCTGGGTCAGGAGTAGGCTGGTCTCTCCCACCTTCCTGTGTAGGCCCTGGAGCTGCTGTTCCAGCTGGCCCTTGTGTTCCTGAAGTTCCTGGATACGCTCCTGCTGGCATTCCACCTCCTTCTCCTTGTCACGCAGGATTAGCTTCATGTGCTCGAGGCTCCCTCGCTGTGCTTTATTCTGGCCCTTCCCTTCCTCTGCCCGCTCCTGCATCAGCTGCCTCTGAGAGGCCAGTTCCCGGCCTCGCTCTCTCAAGGAAAGCTTGATCTGTTCCAGGTCCTCCTCTAGAATCTTGGTCTGCAGTGTCCTCTGATCTTCAAGGACCTGAATCCTCTCTTTCTGCAGCACCATCTCCTGGTCCCTCCTCTGGAGGTCCTGAGTCAGACGCTCTTTCTGCCTCTGCAGCTCCTCGATCTGTTCTCGCTGGGACTTCACCTCCTGGTCCTTCTCCTGGAGCTCTCCTGCCAGAAGGCTGCTGTGGCTCTCCAGCTCGTGGATCTGGCTGCTTAGCACCTGCAGCTCCTGGCTCCTCTCCTCTAGGTCCAGGGTCAGGTGGGTCAGAGCCACCCTCTGCACCTCCCTCTGGCTCTCCAGCTCCTCAATTGCCTTTTGCTGGCACTCTACTTTGCGGTGGTTTTCCTCCAGTTCCAGGGCCAGGCACTCCAGAGTAACCAGCTGCTTCTTCAGATCCTGAATCTGCCCTTTCTGGGACTCGATCACTTGGTCCCTCTTCTCGAGTTCTAGAAGCTGATGCTCTACAACGTTCCTCTGCGTCTCTTGATCCTTCTCGAGCTCTTTGATCTGCTCCCTCTGCACAGTCAGCTTCTGCTCTCGCTCCTGGACGGCCATGGGCAGATGCTCTAAAACAGACCTGCACCTCTCCAGCTCCTGAATCTGTTCCTGTTGCAGATCCACCTCTTGGTTCCTCTTCTTTAGGTCCAGAGACAGCAATTCCAAAGCTGCCTTCTGCATTTCCCGCTGCTTCTCCAGTTCCTGGATTTTTTCCTGCAAAGCCTCCACCTCCCCTTCTCTTTCAGATAAGGCCTGGGCCAGGATAGCCAAGTTCTCCTGTAAAGCCTTTCCTTGGGCCACTTTCAGCTCGCCCTGCTCCCGCAGAGCCTGGGCTCTCTCGCGCTCACTCTCCACCTCCTCATTTTTCAATTTCAGGGCTGAGCGAGCAGTTCGCAGGTCTTCTTCCAGGACCCCTGCAGCACTCGCCTGAGCCCTGGCTTCTGTGACAGATGCTTGCAGATGTTGCACCTGGGCTGTCAGGTTCTCCTTAGCTGCCTGAAGTAACTGTCGCTCATTCTGCAAAACAAGATGCACAGCCACCTTAGACCACACTTCCTTGATACCATCACTCCAACCAGGTCCTTTCTTTCCTTACTTGTAGCACCAGCATTGTCAAGGACTTGGACCAAAAGAACTCCTGCATTCCACTTACGCTACTAACTACTGTGAAAGAACATACCTACCACGTCCCAGGGCTCTGCTACGCCCAGAGAACAAATGAGTCATCCCAGACTCTGGTCCTTCAGAGCAAGGGACAAAAGGAGGATTCACTGGGGCCTTAATAGTGGCTCAGGGAGTGGGGCCAGCCAGAGAAACAGACACTGCTGAAGGAAACTGGGCACAAATATGGGTGGGATAGGACTATAGACCAAGATGGGTCTGAGATGCCCTGTTGATCCCGTGGGACCCGCCCCGCCCAAGCCGCTGGGCACAAATATGGATGGGATAGGACTATAGACCAAGATGGGTCTGAGAGCTAGAGCTGGGTCCTGAGGGACGACTCCTGAAGCAACCCCCGCCCCACACCAGTACCACCATACCTGGGCTTCCATTCCCTGCAGCTCTGCTCGCCGTAGGCGACTCTGTAAGGATGCCACAGTTTCGTGCAGTTCCATCAGCTCAGACTCTAGGGACTTCTGTTTTTCTTCCCACTTGGATTTCTCTTTGGGAAGAGGAGAGGTAGTGGAGCAAGGCCCATGGTTGGGGGTGGAGGAAAAGTGGGAGGTAGAGGCAGATGGACGATGGGAAACAGAATCAAAGGGGAAGAAGGCCAAGGAGAGAATTATATCCAGTTTCATAGAGACATCACCCATCTGCCAGCTGCTCCTGTTTGTCTAGGCTCCTGGCTGCTTCTAGACTCATGTCTGTGTCTGCTGCGCAGCTCCAGCACTGCCTTATAACCATCCCAACAATTTCTCAGCCTGATCACATTCAGATCCTCAACTCTGGATTCCAGACAGGGTTGAGCTGGATGACAATGGAGATCCTTGCGAGTCTCTTACTCTAGGATTTTGCTCTGGTTTTTGGAGACTAGGGTTACTCTGCTGGCTTCCCCCATCCCTACCATTTCTGCAGAATGCACCTAACCCAGATCTATGTGTGTGTCTCTCAGAGAGACCTCTGGGATACTTTCACGACCCAGACCCATTCCCCAAGTTGTCCTCTTCTCTTCTACAGTAGAGCCTTGTGCCTTAAGATCCTCCCCTCTCCTTTCCCTTCCAAGTGGTCACCACCCTTTTCAGTCCATGGCTGTGGCACAGATACGTTCTCCCCATATTCCCCCTCTTTGGTATCTCTCAGACAGTCCTCAATCCTGCTGTTAAAGGTTAAATAATTTTGGGGACATAGTTGAAGATGAAAAAAATAAGTAACATGGATCAATGACAAAAGATAAAGAATTTTAAAATGTCCTCACAGTCCTGGCCTTGGGCTGCCAATTTTTAATCTGCAGAGAGAGAAAGCAAAAGCCTAGCCAGCAACTTCTCACTTCACCAAATCTGTTTCTCTTAATCCCTTTTGCCAGGATGGCCCTCAAAGGCCACGGGAAGCAGAAAACAGTTCATGGGGTTTCACCCATTTGGAGATGCCTCTAGGTATCTTCTCACAGTTGTGGGCAAGCAGTAAAGAGTGGCTGCTAGGCCTGTTCCTGCCCCTTCCAGGCTTCCCGCCTTTCCTCTCCTCCCTCCAAATCCCTGTGCCTGCTTTGAGCTTCTCACCTTCCTGGTTCTGGGAGAGTTGTCTCTGCAGATCCCGCAACTCTGTTTGGACCTGGCTCTTCTCAGCCTCTGTATCAGTGAGATGCTGTTTCAGCTTCTGTGCCTGATTCCTCAGGTCATCCTGGGAAAGAAAGGGCATGGCTAAACTCACCTTCCTCATCTCCCACAAACCTATCCCAGTCCAGGGCCCAAGCCCTCTTCTCCCCTTCAGCCTCTTTTGGGGTTTGCCAGCGGGACCTACTCTCATAATCCTGAGTTATTTACCTCTGAACTCGTATACACTTGGCTTCCTGAGTGATGACAAGCTCTGCTCCAGCTGACTAGAGCCTAGAATCCCTTTTTGTCCTATCTGTGTCATTTGAAACAGAACTGTTGCTAAAGTTTTAGCCCAGGGTCACCTCTCCTCTCCCTAAACTCCTCCTTCAAAGCCTAACTCAGAGGTCATTTCTTCCTTCTGACCTTCCTCAAGTCAGAATGAATTGTCCCTCCTATTACCATCATGTGCATCTGTATTGATCCAGCTAATTCTATTGGTTCTGCTTTATCTTACAATGCAGTTTGGCTCCTCAGCCATGTTATAAGCCTTCTTGAGGGAGCAATCAGGTCTTTCTGCATTTTGTGTCCCCAGCTCAGACGAGCTGGCATATGGTGGCAATATTTTTTTATTGGCTAATAAGTTCACTATGAGATGGAATTTACAGGACATTTAGTTCAGTCGTAGGCTTAGCATGTTCCTATAAATGACAACCTCAAATCTCAGGGGTCTCAATTTGTTGTTTTTTTTCTTGAAGGTCTTGGCACCAAGAATAATTCATGGTTGAGAGGAAAATGATACAAAATAATGTCACACATTTGTACAGGGTTTTTAGCTTATAGGGCTCACATAAGCCCCTCACTGATCTAACATTCTCAACCCTGTGAGGCAGGCATGATTTGCCTGACCTTCCTAGCAAAACCAAGGCCCAGAAAACCAAATGCTTTGTTCATGGTTTCCAGGTCATAAGTGATAAAGATGGAACTTATCCCAACCTGATCTCAGGAAGAAAACAGGTTAAACTGCTGCATGAATGTTTTCAGGGGAGGAGAGCAGGGAAACATACCCGGGCCTGCTGAGTCTTCCGCAGGTCTTGGTGGAGCTTGTGGAGGGCAGATGCCACCGCCTCAGCCGAGAGAGCCGTCAGGAGGGGCCCTCTCTTAAAGAGGATTCTCGTTCCATTTTGATCTGAATAAATGAGGCAATACCTCCTGACTTGGTTACAGTCTGAAAAAAACAGCTCTACCTCTTCAGACATGGTCTTGGCCTTCCCACTGATCCTCCTCTCCTCAAAGAAGCCCTTCTAAGTAGTCCTCTCATCATGCACTGTCTGCATACCTACGTGCCAGGCACTGTGGTGGGCGCTCAGTAATGCTAGCCATCATCCAATAAGTGCCAGGAACTGTGTGGGCTATTTTACCTCTGTAACCTCATTAACTCCTTAGAAAAGTCCTGAAAGGTAGGTACTTTTAACATCTGCATTTTATAATTGAGAGAATCAAGCTCAGAGAGGACAGGTGACTTGTGCAAGGACACACATCTAGCAAATCGTAGAGCTGGGGGGGTTCAAACTCTGGGTTAATTCCAGAGTCTGTGGCTTTAGCGTTGTGGCATACTGTCTAAGGAACTGCATTCCTCTTCCTTCTCCCCAGGGAGCTAGACCTGGCTTTGGCCCAAAGGACTGAGTTCTTGGATGGCTGCCTCACCTGGCTCAGGACCCCAGAAGGAGGGAGCAGAGTCTCCCCCGCCACTCAGCTCAGGCCTGCTCTCACAAACAGACCCCAGGGCCTGCTGCAGGACAGAACAGAGGCTGGCTAGCTGGGCCTGGGCATGGTGCCCAGGCTGCTGCTCTGCAGCCAGCGCCTCCAGCTGGCTCTCCATGCTGCGCAGTCGCAGCTGTAGCTGGGCTTCCTTGGCTTCCTGGGTCCACAAGGAAGCTCGCAGCTGCTGCTCTGTTACTCGAGATGCTTCTAGCTCCTCCAGCAGCTGTGCTTCCTGGGCCAGAAAATTAGCTTCTTTTTCCTTTACCTCCTGCTTCAGTAGTTCCACCTACAGGGAGGAAGTAGTCACCCTGAGCAGGGAGTGGATACCTGCTCCTCAGACCCTCCCTGGTCTTATACTACTCAACCCCGCACCAACCTGATCTGGGCAGGTAGGGAGTACTGCAAGGAGTACTACCCGAGATCTGACCTGCACACCTACCTACTCACTCCTACGCGTGAGTGTAGGCTATGCAAATGGACTTTGGCTCTGGCCCCCCTCGCAACTATGCCAACTCCCTGCTATTAGAATTCTGCCTGAAACCCTGACACTGAACCTAAGAAGACCAGTCACAGTAATACTGGCTACCATTTATTGAATGCTTATTGTGTTCATGACACTTTACATATAACTATAATGGTTAACAAGTTTCACCCTTGTTTCATGGATGAAGAAACTGATGCTCACACAACCCGGAAGCAGTAGAGCTGGGAGTCTAACTCAGGATCTGGGTCCTTATCTGCTGCAGTCTTCTGTCTCTCTCTTAGTCATCCCCTCCTAGTTCCATCTTTCCTCTGCACCAAGGATTGAGCAGACTGAGTCCCCTTGCTGCCTACTTAGTATTCTGGAGTAATACTATGGCCCTGCTGTGTCTTGCCAAACAGACAAAGCACACTAGGGAGTAGCCATGCTTGAATGAACTAGGCCTGCATGAGCTCTGCCCTTTAGGAACAATGTTCTGACTTACTCATCCCCTCCTAGTTCCATCTTTCCTCTGCACCAAGGATTGAGCAGACTGAGTCCCCTTGCTGCCTACGTAGTATTCTGGAGTAATACTATGGCCCTGCTGTGTCTTGCCAAACAGACAAAGCACACTAGGGAGTAGCCATGCTTGAATGAACTAGGCCTGCATGAGCTCTGCCCTTTAGGAACAATGTTCTGGGCCATCAGGTTCTCCACAGGTGGTCAAACTCTGTGTCAGGTTCCAAACCCCCACCCTGCCCAGTCCTGGCTTCCCCCTCCTGCCAGGGCTGCTGATGTCCCAGCATGCCCTGTAATAAGGAAAGAGAAAGGTCCTCTTCATGAACCAACTCTGAGCAATCATCTCCCACTCCAGGGGCAGGCTTCCACCAGGGAATGGGGCCCATCACTGGTGGGAAGTACCTGGGCACTGAGCTCTTTCTGCCCTCCCTGGGCTTCCTGCAGATCCTGGTGCAGGGAACGCAGCTCCTGTTGTCGAACAGAGTCAGCTTCTTCTAAAACAAGGAGTCTCTGTTCCTTTTCCACTAGAGACAGAGTCAGGCTGAAAAGAGAGGGGTCAGAGGGCTAGGCCGTCCTCTCAGGGAATGAAGAACTACCTTCTCATCTGACTGTTCTAAACATTTAATCAAAATGGAGATAGTAATGATAATGATTACAGTGTAACAATAAAAACTTCTATTTATTGAGCACTTACTGAGTGCTCCTAAATACTTCTCGCATATGATACCCAATTTCAACTTCATAGTTTATTCTTCTCTGGGAAATTCCAGAAATATCTATATCATACCTAAAATTCAACATGTCCAATCTGCTCTATGCCCTCTGCACCTCCCCAACCACTCGTATTATGTTCCCTAGCTCAGTGAATGAATGGCACCTCCATCCACCTAGTACCCCAACTTAGAAGCCTTGATCATATCATAGTTCTCTCTTCATCCCACATATACCTAATCTATGACTACATATAACTGATTCCAATTTCCTAAACGTCCTCTAATCCCCTTCTCTCCTCCCCATCCCACTCCCCTATCCTGGTTCAGCTTTAGTATCTCTCCTCTAGACAACCGTACTAGTCTCCTAACTTGTCTTCCTGCCTCTAGAGTTGTTCACGAAAGGATTTATCCCACTGAGAATACATGCCGCTCTTCATTCTGGGTGATCGGACCTCATTCCTGATGTTTTGCGTTCACAAAAGGATTTGTCCCTCCCCAACCTCCTACAGCCCTGAGAATACATGCGGCTTTTCATTCTGGGTGATCGGACCTCATTCCTGATGTTTTGTGTCATCACTATCCCTTCTACTAATCATAAATTGGATTATGTTGAGTTGCTGGCGTAACACCCTGCAATGATTTTCTACCAAACCTAAAATAACTACAAACTCCTTCCTGTGACCTACGCAATCCTGAATGACATGGACTTGTCTACCTCAAGTCACTCCTCAGTCACCAGGCTCCAGTCATGCTGCACCTTCAAGTTCCCCAAACACCCCCAGCTTTGACCTGCCCCAGAGCCACTGCGTGTGACTTCTACCCCTACTGCATAGAACTCTCCCACCCTTTGCATGGTGGCTCCATTTCACCCTGCAGTGGAGGAAGGACTTCCCTAACATCTAAAGTATATCTCCCTCCCCAGCCTGCCCCATTTCTATTTCAGCATCCTGTTTCTTTCCTCCACATCATGGAACATAATCTGCAATAATTTATTTGGGGGTTATTTGATTAATGTCTTCCCTACAAAATTATAAATTCTGTTGAAATGGGGACCATACTGTCTTGTTTATCACTGTATCCTGACCCCTGGCATAGTGCCTGGTACATATGCATTTGTCTAAATATTTACTAAGTAAATGAAGTGTAGGCTTGGAAGACAGGGTCTGTGTCCTACCCCCTTGGCTACTTGTACAGCCCACAGCTGGAGACATGAAAGGCTAGATGACCTGAGCAAAAAACTGTCAACCTCCCAGTGACCACTGGAGCGAGACAGGCAAAAGCCAACTTCGTGGCTTGTCTAGCCTACCTGGCTTTGTCTCTCTCCAACTCTTTCTGAATTCGGCTACATTCCTGGGCCTCTTTCCGCTTCTCCTGAATCTCCTGCTCCACCAGCCTCCGGGAGTCATCCTTGGAAACCAGCTGAGACTTCAAGTCCTCCACCTGAAAAGTTAAGGGCATGAGTTCCAAGGGCAGGGGCCCAGAGGGAGGATGCTTCTCGCCTACGGCTTCATGGTCCTTCAAGGTTTACCTTAATCACCAGCTCATTTCCAGTGCTCTGGAGGTTCCACCAATCAATCCTTACATACTCTTCTTAACTACCCTCCTCCCCAAACACCATTCAGCTTAGTCATCTGTCTCCCAGCCTCACATATGCTGAAGAAAGACAGGCACAAATAAAAATCTTTGCTGAATATAACTACACCCAAAGGCAAAGTGATGGGCAAGTGTATAGTGATTCTATTTTTTAAAATGAACAATCAGAACACCATCTGATATAGGATTTTGAAAAGGAAAAGTAATCAGAATAAAAAAAGCAATCTGGTCTGGCTGGTGTGGTTCAGTGGTTTTGTGTCAACCTATGAACCAGGAGGGAAGACAAAAAGAACGAAGGAAAAGTAATCAGAATGAAAAAAGCAATCTGGTCTGACTGGTGTGGCTCAGTGGTTGAGTGTCAACCTATGAACCAGGAGGGAAGACAAAAAGAACAACTGACAGTGGAGCTGCCTGAGAATATCTAAGTTCTGTAGTCATCACAGGAAGATTACCACCCAGAGCTCAAGGGGCCCGTGCTCAGCTCTGAGTACCCTTCCACTCAGCACTGGGGCCTAGCCTTCTCCTCCCAAGCTCCCAAGGTTCCCCTTGTCCTGCAGGAGGGAGTGGGGCTGGGAGAGAGGAGGAGGGACCTGCTTCTGCAGGTCTATCTTATCCTGTAGCAGGGAGCTGCTCTCTCCTCGGAGGGCGGTGAGGTCATCTCTGTGCTGCTGGGCTGCCTGCTCCAGCTCCCGCTGAGCCTCCCGGAGCTGGGTCTGCAGCATTCCAATGGTCTCCTGCAAAGGGAGAAGACAGCTGTGAGAAGAGGAAAGCTTTCACAGGGGCCTTGAAATTCACGCTGTAGAAATTAATATCATATAAATACTGATTTTTTAGTTGGGGTAGCAAAAGCTAAAGCAGGACCCAGCAATCCACCTTGTGTCTGTCATGCCCTGCCACCTCAACTCCTCACCTCCTATTCCCTCTCCTCCCTCACAAAGTGCACTGGCTCACCCAGGAGTTCTCGGTCAGGGTCCCTGAATTGGCAGCAGTCCCTTAGACCATCACAACAACCTCCCGTTGCACAGCCCTATTTCTACTTCATACCCCCCGCCACACACACATTAAATTATGTCCTTCTCTGCTTCCTAAGTACCAACATTTTCCCATTGCCCTTGATCAAGTCCAGGCTCCTGCCATGGCTGACAAAGGGCTCCTGCCTATCTTTCCACTCACCCCTGAGCTTATCACGCTGCAGCCACGCTGCCTCCTTTCTGTCCTGGAACTCCCCGCGCCCTTTGCTGTCTGTCCCAGGGCCCTTATGGCGCCTATTTCCTCTGCCTAACCTACTCTTCAAATCGCTGGCTTCTTTGCTTTTTAACAGTTTTACTAAGACATAGTTCAGATGCCACACAATTCACCCATTTAAAGCGTAAAATTCAACGTTTTCAGCGCATTTACAGAGTTTTACAACTACTACTACAATCAATATTAGAACATTGTCATCACCCACAAGAAACTGTACCCGCTATCCCTTATTCTCACTCCCAACCACGCATCTACTTCCTGTCTCTGTAGGTTGGCCTATTGTGGACATTTCCTATCAATGGAATCATACACCGTATGGCCTCTTGTGACTGGCTCTTTCACTCAGCATGTTCCCAAGGTTCATCCCTATTGTTCACGGGGCTTTTAAACCTCATGTCTCAGCTCAAATGTTACTTTCTCCTTGAGGTCCTCCCTGACCTCCTTGCCCAAAGTGGCCACTTTTGAATCAGTCTCAATTATATCACCTTATGCATTTCCTTTACAGCACGTATCACAACCTGCAATTATCTCATTTATTTTGTGTCTGCTCCTCCTGGTCTGTCTCTGCTACTGGAAAGTAAGCTCCTTGAGGGCAGGGACCATGTCTGTCATGTTCACTGGGCGCCACACCGTGATGCTGGCCGTATGTTACCACCCAGCACAGGGCCTGACCCGAAGTGCCAAAGACCTGGCCAATGCTGCATGAGTGAATCAATGTTCCCCTTTCTTCCCTGCCCAGGACCACCCTCCATACCTGTTCCTTTAACTTCTGAACCTTCATGTCCTGCCTCAGCCGTTCCAGTTGCTGGCTGGCATCTGCCAGTTCCTTCTGGGTCTGCAGCAGTGTCTCCAGGAGGGACACCCTCTCTTTCTCTGTTTCGAGCTGCATCTGTGGAGGGACAGGAGTGCAGGGCTTGTTGGATCGAGGTCACCATGCTCAGCCACTAGGCCACCAGCATATTCCAGCTATTCGATTGCTCTTCCGGCAAATGGGGTGGGGGCTGAGGGCAAAGGAAGGACTGGACCCACTGACTGAGAACCAGGAAGTGCAAAGATTGCCACTAGTTTTCAAGCTGACAGGATGTGGTAAACGCCAGCCCTCCCGCAGGAAGTATGACGTACTGCTGGCCCTGCAGTTAATGCTGCTTGTCACCCAGCTCACTTGCAGCAAGTGGGTGGCTACACTCTCTTCTAGAAGCCCCTGCGGTACTGCTCTGGGGAGTGGAAGAGGAAGTGTTCACAGGCAGGGGAGCCGCAGGCTGGACATCAGCCTCCCACCTGGCATAGGGCGCTCTCGGCCTTGGCCCGTTCTTCTTCCTTCTGGGTCCGAAGAGCCTCGGTCTCTGCCTGCTGCTCCCTCAGCCTCATTTCTAGCTCCATTTTCTCCTTCTCTAGGGTCTCCAGAGCCTTATCCAGTTCCTGCTGGTGCCGGGAGCACTCTTTCTCCTGGTCATACAAAGGAACACTGTTAGAACCAAATGGGTGAGGAGAGGTGGCAGAAGAACTGGATGAGAGTAAGTCCACTGCTCACCAGCTGTATGACCTGGTACTGCTCGAAGCCTGTTTCCTCATCTGTGAAGGAAGGCTAAAAACCCCTGCCTTCCCTATCTCACCAAACTTTATGAGAATCAAATGAGATTTATAAAAAAAATCAAATGGTACCACACATAAAAGTACTTTCTAAAGTGTAGTTGTCCCTAATATAAGTTACGAGTATGCGTTATTTTAAAGCAACCACATCATGGCTCACAGCTGTAAGCCACACATAAAAGTACTTTCTAAAGTGTAGTTTATTTTAAAGCAACCACATCATGGCTCACAGCTGTAACAATGAACTGAGGTGGCAGACTCGCTCTCTGCGGCCCACTCTCCCCTGCTCAGGGAGGCAGTCAGCCTTCCAAAAAGTCAGGTCGAGCCCAGCGAGGGTGTCTCCTGTATTATACAAGAGCACTAGGACGCGGCATCGGTCCTCCCCGAGGTCCGCCAGTCACCAAAGCCTTCCCTGATCTCCCAGACTAACCCAGCACCCTCCGTTAGTGAAGGGCTCTGGAGCCAGGCTGCCTGGATTAATCTTTAGTCCAACACTACTAGTGTGACCTCAGTTAAAGTCTATCACATCTCAGTGTCTCAGTTTCCTCATCTTGAAAAATGGTGATAACAACAGTGTCCTCCCTCCTAGGATTGTTTAGAGCAGTGGTTCTCAACCTTCCTAATGCCGCGACCCTTTAATACAGATCCTCATGTTGTAGTGACCCTCAACCATAAAATTAGCAGGATGTATTTTCATTGTTACAAATTGAACATAATTAAAGCATAGTGATTAATCACAAAAACAATATGTAATTATATACGTTTTCCGATGATCTTAGGCGACCCCTGTGAAAGGGTCGTTTGACCCCCAAAGGGGTCGCGACCATAGGTTGAGAACCGCTGATATATGTGTTTTCCGATGATCTTAGGCGACCCCTGTGAAAGGGTCGTTCGACCCCCAAAGAGGTCGCGACCCATAAGTTGGCGACCCAAAGGTTGAGAATCACTGGTTTAGAGGATTAAGATAAGTCATGTAGCTCTGGCTGGTGTGGCTCCATGGTTAGTGTTGGCCTGCTCACTGCTCACCAAAGGGTCACAGATTCAATTTCCAGTCAAGGACACACACCTAGGTTGCAGATTTAATCCCTGGCCCCGGTCCGGGTGCATGGGGGAAGCAACCAAGCAACCAATTGATGAGTCTCTCTCACATCGATGTTCTCTCTAGTACACTACCTACTGGGGATTGAGCCCACAACCCAGGCATTTATCCTGACTGGGATTCAACCGTGACCTCCTGGTTATAGGTCAATGCTCAACCACTAAGCCACTCTGGCTGGGCCATGTAAAACACTTTAAATGGTGCTTTGTATCCAGAAAGTATTTAAAATTTAATATCTATCATCACCAGCATCATGAATAAAATTGTACATAGGGCCCTACCTGGTTTGGTGTAGTGGATAGAGCATTGGCCTGCAGACTGAAGGGTCCCAGGTTCGATTCCAGTTAAGGGCACATGCCAGGGTTGCGGTCTTGATCCCAAGTGGGGGGTGTGCAGGAGGCAGCCAATCAATGATTCTCTCTCATCATTGATGTTTCTATCTCTCTCTCCCTCTCCCTTCCTCTCTGAAATCAATTAAAATATATTTTTAAAAAAACTGTACATAGGTTGAGAGGAGTGAATGAAGGTGAAATATTCTGAATGCTCCTATGTCACTCAGGAAAAAAGTAAATATACTGATTAACCTAAGGTGTTTCTTTTGTTTGCTTTTAAAAAAATATTTTTTTACTGATTTCAAAGAGGAAGGGAGAGGGAGAGAGAGATAGGAACATCAATGAGAGAGAATCATTGATCAGTTGCTTCCTGCACGCCCCACACTGAGGATGGAGCCTGCAACCCAGGCATATGCCCTAACTGGAAATTGAACTGTGACCTCCTGGTTCATAGGTCAACACTCAACCACAGCCACACTGGCCGGCCACCACTGGAACTTTTGAGTTCACTCTAAAAATAAATCCTATATAATAAAAGCCTAATATGCAAATTGACTGAACAGCAGAACAACTAGTGGAATGACCAGTCGCTATGATGTGTATTGACCACCAGAGGGCAGATGCTCAACGCAGGAGCTGGCCCCAGCCAGCAGGCCCCAGGCCAGCCAAAGTGGGTGCCAGCAGGAGTCCCCCCACAATTACCCTGCTGGTCGCCCCACAGATTGGCCCTGATCGCCGCTACATAAATTTCAGGGGTACATTATAATTCGTTATCTGTGTACTCTATTGTATGCTCACCACCCAAAGTCTAATTTCCTTCTGTTACCATATGTTTGACCTCACTTGAGATTTTAAGTATATATCCTATATAATAAAAGGGTAATATGCAATCGGGCCTCTAGTAAATAAAAAACCAATGGAAATATATCCTCCAGTGAGGATTAACCAAAAAGAAATATGTATTTAAGGAAACAACTAATAGAATAAAAAATACAGTACATATCATCCAAAGCAGTAGAAAGAAAAAGAGGTAAGAAAAGACTACAACTTAATCATCCAATTTAATCCTCTAAAAGAAGTTAAGAAAGGTGATCTCTCCTCCACAAAAGACATAAAAAGGCAGGACAAATAGCATAAGATGGTGGAAATAAATCCAAATATACCTATAATCACAATAATAGAAAATGGACTAAATTATATAATTAAAAGACAAAAGAAAAATAGTTTTGAATTGGGCAAGAATGTTTCCAAGGCATTCCTCTGCTCCCTTTCCATCCTGGGGCCAATTCTAAATCCCAGGATC